GGAACAATAGCAAATGGAATATATGGTCTATTTTCTATGTAATGTGGAATTTCAGGATCCACACCTTCCAGAAAGAGGGACATCCGGTTCTTCCAGAGACTAAAGTTGTCACGGACAAACCGGGGAGGTTTGGCAAGAGAGCCATTATCTTTTGTGTGTGTGTGTGTTTGCAATTTGTAAAGCCATTTGTAAACAGTAAAGTTATCTAAGAAGAGATAAACTAATACAGAAAAATAGTCAAACACAAGGAAAGAAAGAAAACACTCCTCTGATACCACTTGTTGGTCCCGTAAGGGTCTACAAGAAGAGAAACAGTTTGTAGAAGGGGGGTGAATACAAACACAGTATTTTCAAATTTAAAATATATATTGATAGAGAAGATCAATACAGATTTTACAAGATTGTTTGTGGAAAGATAAGGTAATAAAAACCTATCTAAACAATCTTTGGTTACACACAATGCTTTAGCAATTACAAGAAAAGAAGTTACTAAAAGAAAGATCCTTTACTTTAAGCTAGAAGATGCTTCAAGTAAGAATTAGGTTAGAGAGAGATGCGCACTCTCTGCATGGAGAAGAAACACTTCTATTTATACCCAGTGCATTAAATGTCCATTTAATGCAATATGGTAGGTTTAGAGTGCATGTCAAGCCTTAAGAGGAAGGCTTGTCCTTTGCTACAGTGAATAGTACAAAAGCACTATTTCTGAGCAGACACCCTTACCTAAAGTTGGTAGACAAAGAGTCGACTAGTCGGCTCCGTACCGTACTAACTTTTGTAAGGGTATGGGTTTTGTCCTTTGTGTGCATAAGGATAAGACAACAACAATCGTGCTAAGCAAGCTTCCTTTGATCGCTGAATGCTGGAATGACCTGAAGGTCTCATCATCATTCGCTGAAGCTTGAGCAGTCTTCACACATATGTAGACAGGCTTGTAATCACTGAATACCGCTTCAAATCACGTACTCGCTAGTCTCTTATCTTCAGTTTCAGTCTTTGACGTTTGCTGAAGGTTCTTTGGTGTGAGTGTTGTCTTCTTGAAGTATTGTTGTCTCTGATAGATTTACAATCCAAGTTCTTTAGCGATTACTGAACATAATCAGTGAAGATCGCTGGAACTGAAAATACAGAAACATAAATACAACGTATAGGTGAAAAGGGATTATCATCAAATCACTGAGAGAGAGGATCAACATCAACATCATTAGAAACTTATTGCTTGGTTCTTGATCAACCTCGAGAATATTAATTGTTTTATTTTGAGATTCAACGTTTTCATTCGAGGTATCAAGTGGCATGTGAATAGGTATGGGCACATGTAACATAGGTGTCTCTTCACATCCCTTTTGAAGATCTATAGATCTACAAACATCACTCCCATTGATGTTTGGGTTCTCAGGAAACTCGACATGTAGCGTCTCAACAATCCTAGTGGTATGTGAAGGGCAATAGAAACGATATCCCTTTGAATGTTCGGGATATCCAATAAAATAACAACTAATAGTCTTTAAGTCTAACTTTCGTGATTGAGAATTATATAATTTTTTCCTTAGTCGAGCAACCCCACACTCTTATATATCTCAAACTCAACTTCCTTCCTGTCTATATTTCATATGGTGTTTTAGGAACAGATTTGTAAGGGACTCGGTTGAGTATGTGGACAGCTGTCTTTAGTGCCTCGGTCCATAAAAAAATCTGGGAGGTTTGTATTAGCCAACATACTTCGTACTATGTCCATAAATGTACGGTTTCTTCTTTCAGCAACACCATTTTGTTGCAGAGTACCAGGCATGGTGCATTGATTGATTATCCCATTACTTTTACAAAATCAATAGAAGGATCCGGGACTTTGACCTAAATCAATATGTGGGCCATAATATTCACCACCTCTATCTGGCCTTACAACCTTTATTTTTTGGTCAAGTTGATTTTCAACTTCGGCCTTAAAGGTCTTGAACATTTCTAATGCGTCAGATTTTTCATGGATAAAAAATAAATACATATAACGTGAATAATCGTCAATGAAAGTGATTAACGATTTTTGACCTCCAATTCCTGCTAGGAAAGGACCACAAATATCAGTATGGACTAGCTCAAGTAATTCCATATTTCTAGTGGATCTTTTCTTATTCCCTTTGGTTGCTTTACCCTTAATGCATTTAATACATTTTTCAAAATCCGAGAAATTAAGGTTTGGCAAAACTTCATCTTTCTCGAGTCTTGTCATTCTTTCTTGTGAGATATGGCGCAACCTTTTATGCCATAATATTGATGAAGTTCCCAAATATCGCTTTCTCTTATTCTTATTTACATTATCACAAATATTTAAAGGTAATAGGAATTATAAAAAGTGGTTATCTAAACACAACTATAGAGATTTCCCTCTAGACAACCATAACCAATAACACGTGAATACAACTTTATTATACATCTACCATCACCAAATATATTTGTATATACATAGTCGTTTAACTTTGAAACGGAAATAAGGTTTCTAATTATACTTGGTACATATAGAGTTTCACATAAATCTAATGTCGAACTACCTTCTAATATTAATGAAAGTGTACCGACCGCTTCAACTCCCAAATCCAAGCCATTTCCGACTTTAACCGTCCATTGGTTTCTTTCCAGCTTCCTTATTTTACGGAATCCCTGTAAATAATTTGAAATGTGTACCATGGAACCGGAATCAATCCACCATGTATTAGAGGGTATATAAATATTAAGGGATTCACAAATCATGAAATTAGAGGTGTTACCTTTCTTCGCAAGCCATTCTTTGAATTTTGGACAATCTCTTTGAGTATGTCCTTTGTTACGACAAAATTTACATTTTCGAATTCCTTTGAAGTACTTGCATCGGTGTTAGGGACCTTGTTTGGAATAAATTTATCTCCCGTCTTTCCTTTGCCCTTCGAGAACCCTTTCCTTTTCTTAAAGCCGGTGGTAGTAAGATGAGTGACATCCAACTTTTCAACTTTTAGTCGTTCTTCTTATTGGACACACATTGCAATTAGTTCGCTTATCTTCCATTTCCCACTTTGAGTGTTATAATTGATCTTAAACGACCAAACTGAGAAGGGAGAGATATCATTATGAAGTGGACGAGAAAACCCTCACTAATCCATGTCCATACTTTTGAGTTTGTTTGCCATGTCACTCATCATCATTATGTGCTCATGCACACCACTGCCCCCATTGTACTTAGTAGTCAACATTTTGAGGATCAAGGTACTTGCATAGGCCTTTGAAGTCCCTTTAAATTGATCCTCCATGGAGTTAAGGTATGTCTTGGCATCTTCGGAGTCAGAGATGGCTCCTCCATTGGCAACATAAATGGAATTTTTAATGATCATGATAGACATTCTATTTGACCGATCCCATAATTCATATGCCCTCTTTTCATCCGGCGAACTTTTGTCGGTGAGGGCAGCATATCGTTCTAGTCTCAAAGCATGATCAAGATCCATAACTTCAAGAGTCAATTTCACTTGATCTCTCCAAATGTTGAAGTTTGTACCAGTTAGGGGCTCAATTCTAGACAAATATCCAGAATTTGTAGTTAAAGTAGATGCCGCCATAATAGTACAATTAAATGCATGCTCATATTTATAAGATGATACTTCAAAACATGATTCAGAATACAAGGTAGTAAGCATATCAATGGAATTAGAACTAATCCTATTTAAACATACGAAATATAGGCAATAGAACCATCATACTCAACTACCAATAGTTCATTGGATCAATCAGTAATTAAGTTTAATGTCTCATGTTAAACTACGCAAACATATCTTTCACATAGTACCGTCGGGTAAACAATGTAATAGATATGCAACTTATGTTGAAAATACCATTATTTAACTCAACAAATAGGTTTCATCTGGGTCCCCTAAATCTCAATGTAAACAATGTATTATATATTTATTTGACTTACCTTGGACAATTTCTCGTTGATTCCATTATCCAAGATAAAATTTAATCTTAATTAGTAAAACAATTTTTATTGCAAATCATAATATATATATATATATATATATATCACCATTATTATGCATCATCATGAATGTTGGAATGATAGACAATCAAAATAAATAGTAGTGCTCTAAATATGATGGCAAAAGGGATTTTCAATCAACTATGAAACATGAATTCAAATTTCATAAACCAATAAGCATATAAATCAAATTAGAAATTCATAAGGGCATGGAAGAAGAATTAGAATAAGCATATAACACAAATCTGGAATTTCTCAGAATCCAAAATTGGTAATTCATCGTCTCCTTCACCTGCTGTTTGTTGTTCCAGATTTCAAGATTTCTACGGCTCGTTTACCAAACGTTTACTCAGGTAAGCGCTTATCAAGTCACATTTTCTTATCGGATGAATATTGGAAGAACCAAAAATCTTACCCGGTAAGAGGGAGACAAAGACCGAGAGTCTTACCCAGTAAGTGAGAGTGATAAATCTTACCATGGTAAGCGCTTACTGGGTAAATTGTTGCATACAATACCATTTTGGTGGACTAAAGTCTTATCCGGTAAGTAAATGATAGTGTTAAATTTTACCGGTAAACATTTACCGGGTAAATGTTAGGTAAACAACCCCTAAGTCCACTTAAATTCTTTAATCATTAATATCATCAAACTTCCATTTTATATTCCTGGATGATATAGGTTACATTTGGGAGCCATGAATTTTAACAATTTTGAAGTTTCATTGGTTTTATATGATAAGATTTAACGATGATATAGGTTACATTTGGTCTTTACATATTAATACAATTTGAATAAATAAGAGTTATGGTTCCAATTACACACTATCGATGAAAAAAATTGTATGACAGTTTAAAATCCAATATATTTAAACGACTCCACAAATGTRTTCGATTTACACCAAGAGCAAAGAACCAAGAAACTTGAGTTTTAAGATAAACACTCAAAACCAATAAAGAAAACTACAAATTTAACAGATCATAACCCATGAAAAGACCAAAAAAGATGAGTTTTATATTGAAATTTCAACTGTTTACCCTCTTTCTTGTCCAGAAACTTAGATTAAGGTTGAACTAATATATGTATACATATATTTCAAAAAAACTCAAGAACATATTATATAGTGCAATTTGTACAGCCTAACCCCAAAATATGTACTATATATATATATATATATATATATAAACAACTATAAAAAATAAATCGTAAATATTAAAAATATTTTTTCACAGTATATATAATATATAATAATATAATTAAGTAAAAAACTATTCAATATTGGACTCATTTCGAAGATATTAAAGAGACAATTATAAAGGTGTAACTTGTTAAAACAAAAATACATTTTTTAAACATGTTTTAATTGATATACGATTATGTATATTAATTCGATAAAGGTTTAAAATGAAACATTTAAAAGTAAATGACGTAAAGTAAATTAATTAACTAATTATAGGGGTATAAAGTGTAAATTTAAAATTATAATTTTAAAAAAATAGATTGTGAGAAGGTGAGTGTATGTGAGGGGTGAGTGCATGTGAGGAGAGGAGGGGGTGAAAAAGTGTATAAAGGGTATCTTGGTCATTTAGTATTTTAATACTTTAAGACTTTTGCTAAATTTGCTTTATAAAATAGTATAGATAAAAAAATTATCATATTCATCGGATTCTATTTATATATATATATATATATATATGTGTGTGTGTGTGTGTGTGTGTGTGTATGTGTGTTTTTAATGATTTTTTTTTAAGTTAAGGGTGAAACTAGATAATTAAATTTTATAAGTTAAATTAGAAAGTGAAAAAATGATTTTTATTTAAAGTTTATAGGTGAAATAAAAATTGAATGGATAATTAAAAAAGTTTAACATGTTCATACATAAAATCGAAAATTTCATAGGTGAAACAATTAAGTGAATGAGATAATTAAATAATGTAATAACTACGTAAATAAAATATTTAAGGAATGTGGTATCAACAAATAAAAAAAAGACAAAAATGCCCGTTAATAAAGTTAATATTAATTAGTTGGTTAACAAAAGAAGGAGACCATATATATATATATATATATATATATATATATATATATATATATGGGCCTAATTAAATGAGAACTAATTAGTTTGTGGTAACTGTGAGAACCAATATTAACCACAAATCAATAGATAAATTAGGAAATTTATAATT